TTTGGGGGGGGGGATTTCTGTGTTGACAAAAAGTAAGCGAGGATCTGTGATCTCACTGGAGCTCAAGCAAAACATGAGACTTAGATCTGTGATCCCTACGGATCTCTCGATAAATTTGAGAGCTGGATCGATGATCCCGTCGGATCCGAGATCAGGATCCGTGGGATTTGATCTCAGATCCATTTTCTCGGATCCATGCACATGTCTGATGTACATGACGCAAACATACGACAGGGTGCCTGGAGTATTGTATTCAAATCGATTAGCTACTCCTTTGTCTACCGCCATCACATCAATGGCAAGTGACTCGTCTTTTCAAACTCTTCGTCGTGTGTAAATAAAGACAGTCCCTTCCTCCTACGTACTTTCTACGTTCAAAACATGATGATTTAAGATCAGCATTGCTTTGAATTAAGTTCATCCATTCATATACGTATAGTAATGTTCGAGTAAATCCTTGAGTAAATCCAATCCAATCATGACTAAAATTGATAGATACCTAGTATATTTTAGGAAAAATGGAAGTAGCTGAGTCATAGCCACACGTGTATGGGGCAATGAACACGTACGGCAATTAACACAAACGAACTCTCTCATTGTGATTTGTCACAAGTGAATGATGTAGCACTCAAGGCAGATCATGTTGGCCCAGCTGAAGGGTCAGATATGGTGCAAAAGGTACAGCATTGTCATTGCTCGATGATAGTTCGGCGATGCTGCTTTCTCAGGCGGCTGTCACTGTTTAAGCTGTAGCACGCATGTCAATCATGAGCCTCACCTGTGTGCGAGTGCCTGGGCTAGTCGAACTGCCTACAAGACGCGCCACGTGCCCTCCCACCAGGGCACTTCACTGTCCGCCCCGTGCGGCACAGGCGCGCCTTCGGAGACGGCGGAGCGCCCGACCGGTATGAGTCGCACCTCGCCACTGCACTGGTCGGACGCGCGCGAGCACTCCGTGTGGACCGAGCGCCCCTCCCGACCCCCCGCGGCAGGGAACGCCGATAGATCCGGCAGGAGAGGAGGAAAGATAGGACGGCTAACGGACCGGGCATGGGTTGATGGCAGACTGGGAACACGGGGGCAGGGGCACTGCATAAGTGCATAATCTTGCATGAATATTGAAGGGAGATCAGCTGGATAGGAATGGCAGGACTCATTTTGGGAGACATTTGACAGGAGCGTTGGGTTTGTGTTGGTTACTTCTCACTTAGCGCTGCGGCCAGAAATAAGAAACTACGCTAGCTGAACGATATTTCCCATGGATCGTACTTCCATGCAATGAACGTTTATTTACGCTTCTGACTTTGTATTATAAACAAAGCAACTCTTGATGGACATTTCTTATATACAGTATCGACAGCTTTCAGTAGAACCTAAAATAGCTAAGCTCTTTTACCCTACTTTACAGAACCAGAAGGAAGAAGGAACACTGAACAGAAAGACATCCGACCCCGATTGCATGCAGCTCGCGGGGAAATACGGATCACGCACAATCAGAGCATGGTATCAGTTGTTTTATCATCAAACTAATTTGTCATTCAGTGAGTAGGGACCTGAGTAGCTTGAAAATGGTAGGTGCGTAAATTCAGTGTTATCAGTCCTTTAGTCCTACGGGACGGGGAATGACCTGAGGTGGTAAGCTATTGCACGACTGTTGTTCGTTGTATTATAACTTCGTTAGATTTGCCTCAGCATGATCGCCGCAGACGCCGACCGACTGGGTGCCGTTTAGTAAGCCGTAAGCAAATATCACAACTTTGGAAACTTATAATCAGTGAGGCTTATGTGGTCTCAATAAATGGCCGATGCAGCAAGCCGATGGTATGTACCTATTTGGAAGGTTAGACAATAAACTACAACATAATAGGTAGATGTAGAGAAAAAGTGAGGGTGTGTTGACATTAGGGCATATTTTTTACGCTAATCATGAGGTGGTCCAGTGCATGATCCATTCATATTATTACAGAGGGCTGTTCACGGGCCCTGTGTGCGGTCGGACCGCACACAGCCTCCAAGCTCCGCCCACTGCGTCCCTACGTCAGCCTTCCGTCACCGCACACAGCGATCGCTGTGGCCGGTCGGGACTGGCCACAGCGGACCGTCCACCGCACGCAGCCGTGACGTCAGAGCCGCCTACCCATCCCCTACCCCCACGCCTGCTGGACGCTCCGCACACACCGCACGCAGCAGTGTGCGGTGCCCGTGAACACCCCTCTATTCTTTTATGTAATGTTCCGTCTGTTTCTACTGATCTGAGATACGGCCGTTTTCATGCTTCCCCTCGGTGCTCCCATGCTGCATCGTCCGATCCTCTCCCGCTGCATTCCCGCTGCTGTCTCGCTGATCCTCGCTCGCGCGTGTCGGTTGCGTGCCGAAGCGCCGTGTGCTGGGGCTGTCCTGGGCCCCGATGACCCGAGGGCTGTTCACGGACCCTGTGTGCGGTCGGACCGCACACAGCCTCCAAGCTCCGCCCACTGCGTCCCTACGTCAGCCTTGCGTCACCGCACACAGCGACCGCTGTGGCCGGTCGGGACTGGCCACAGCGGACCGTCCACCGCACGCAGCCGTGACGTCAGAGCCGCCTACCCATCCCCTACCCCCACGCCTGCTGGACGTACCGCACACACCGCACGCAGCAGTGTGCGGTGCCCGTGAACACCCCTCCGACCTGCCGCCAGTGGACGCCGTGCATGGCACCGGCCGGCAGTTACGACCGTGTGAATCGTGTTATGGGTTGGCAGTCGGTGGACGATTGTCGGGCGGTCGGGCGGCCGGGCCCGTTAACAGGCTGCGAGTCGCTGTCTGCAGATCTATGTCCGAGTATACTAGCCGGAGCGCGGGCGGGTCGCGGGGAGTGAATGAAACGGTGGTGCGGGCAGAGGGAGACGGTGTTCACTGTTCAGGGGGTGACCGGTGAGGCCGCAGTTCAGGGCGTTTTCGGATGGCGTAGGCGGTGGCCAGCCGACGCGGACGGTCGTTCATGTCCTATCGGGCTGTCGGCCGGGCCGTCCGCCTCCGGATCTCAACACTCAGTAAACAGTGACCTCTGAAAACAAACGCTGCTGCTTGGGGGCCCGTAGATGGCCGGGGGGGGGGGATGCGATAGTGGGCGTCAGAGCTCGAACCGGCCCTCGAAGCTGCGCCAGATACGGCGCTGTGTTTCAAAGCTGCCGCCGTTTGTACAGTCACTGCAGATATACACAGCGCCACTTTCCTCCTCCGTGGGACGCAACCATGACCGGGCGAAAAATGGTCATAGGTTGAGGCTTAGTAATATCCTGCCGATATCACACCTACGCCACGTTAGACGTCTTTGTGGCTAGTTACATTAAATGTAATATTTTAATTTAACCCTCGCCACGCTGGGGCTCCTACATTTTCCACTCATTCTGAGAAGAAGTAACAAACATTATTGGCCTAACTCGGCTCTTGGGCCACGTCGTAGCCAACGTCTGAAAGAGCGTAAAAATACGAAGAAAATACTCCGGTCATTTACCCCGGGACCTGGGCCTCGTTTCATAAAGCGAATCCGTAACTTAGCCGTTTTTGGGCTTGAAGGTATTGCAAGCGCATGTTAAGCGATAAATGTATTTCCCCTTCTCCCTTCTGTTCTTGCTTGCAAGATAAATAAATTCAACGATGCAAACTATCTTCATTGCTTCACATGCACTTGCAATACAAGCCCATAAAACGGCGTAAGTTGCGGACTCGCTTTATGAAACGAGGCCCAGAACGCATTCAGGGGTAACATTTCGTCAATATCGACATTTCTCTTGCCTTAGTGATAATCCGCGGAACTCTGTTTTCTGAGGGTCACTTGACGTGACCTGGTGGCTGGTGAACAGACTGAGCGACCTGGGTTGGAAATTATCACATATGCAGAAGAAATGCATAAATAGGCGTCATTTTTCAAGATATCTGCAAAAAAAAAAACTCAGGGGGAGGTTCGAACGTCCCCGGCTCGGCGCAGTAAGGTAGCAGTAAGTAGTGTTTGCTGCATTTTATTTGTGATGTTCTGTCATGCTATGTTCTGGTCAAGTGTTCCAGTGGTTTCATTTTGACATTTCGTTAATATAACATCAGCAAAGACTACAAAGAGCATAGACTGCTATGTTCATGAGCAAAGACATGAACAAGACTACTTAAAAATAATAATTATTGGTATAACAGTGCGGCACTCGATCTAATCTATTCCTTCTTAACGTTGCAATTCGTCGTGAAAGCGTCCAGCAAAATCGACCCTGTGACGGCATCAGTGGGTAAGCCCATTCCTCCCACAATATGTCAAATTGATGGGGAAAAGGCACTGCAAATTTCGCACTTCTATCTCGAATGTTCGGGGACTACTCCTAATATTTATTATGGTGGGCATGGGGTGCTAAAACGCCCCCACCTCCGACCCACGAGACTTAAAGAATGACCGCAGGACTCTAGAAATGATTTTTGACTTCACATTTCCAGTGCTGCATCGCGTGCGTCTCAAAACAAGGCATTACACTCATATCCTAGATTCATAGTCATAGATGGCGTTGGCATCGCACGCCTGCAGGCATGCTGCACCGCACAACACGCGGAAGTAAAATTGCGTAGGATCAACGCTGGGGAGCGTCACAGCCTGTATTTTCCTCTGGCGTTATTACAACATTATATATGCACTATGCACGGTGTAGGCATAAGAAACCGTCGACTAACGCTCTTATTTCATCCATCGTATTTTCTGGTCCAAATCCCATGTAACGTCTCAGTGCAGCTAAACCCCCAACCGCCCAGCCCAACCGGGTCTTCGATAAAGGCTGAATGGCTGGTGCTCCTTCCAGGGTCAGGTGCATGATCCAGTATTGAGCCCGGGTGATACCACATATCCAGGTACGACTTCATTAACCATACCAGAGTAAACTAGCTGGAGCTTATTTACCGTCATAACATCATACGACAAACGTCGAATATCACAGACGGCAGCTGCTCCCACGGCGATAACGTACCACCAACCATGAAAAGAGAATACAATCGACCAGATCATTCCATCACACTTACCAGCAGGTTACAAACATCAGGTACCAACCCCCTACATTACCTACCTTCTCAACTCATAATATACCTACTCGGATATAAAGATTCCCACTTACAGCTGTGCGGCTTACTAGGACACAAGAACATTGCACGTATTATTGAGCACCGTCGTTCCGAACGCGTCACGCGCTAACAGACCAATCCATCCCACCCCACGCCGTCACAGAGCGCCCCCAGTCGGTCAGTCGTCACTCTCCACAGAGCTCTTGAGCGCGTTCCGTTTCTGCGCGGCCACGATGCCCACCTTGTGGGTGACCAGGTAGTTGACGTGGTCCTCCAGCGGAGTGACACACCGGCTCACGTGCTCATCGCGCTCCATCAGTAAGGCCCAGTCACGCTGGAAACACACAGATAACACACAGGGCGTTAGCGTGAAGGACCGGGGGAGGGGAGGGTGCAGGAGGGGTGTTGGTTGAACCACTCTAAACGGTAGACGCTACATGAATATCAGTTGGCGAACAAAGTGGGCCCCTAGTCGTTCTGGAAAACGGCAAAAGCGTACGCATCTTCATTACTGCTAAAGGTGAAATACGGAAATAACCTGGTCAGTCTAACGACAGGTATTTGACTCTACCACTGTGCTTCACAGTGGTACTGAGTGATGTGGTTTTCACTATGCACGTAACTAGTGTTCCGTAACTTGAGCCGAGGTGCTCGGCACACGGTGCCCCGGCACGATCTCGTGGCCCTGGTGTGACCCTGTACCCGAGTCCCTTGGTATGACCCCGAGTCCCGTGTGTGTTCCCGTACCCGAGTCCCAAGTGTGACCCCGAGTCCCCTAGTGTGACCCCGAGTCCCCTGGTGTGCCCCCGAGTCCCTGGTGTGACCCCGAGTCCCTGGTGTGACCCCGAGTCCCTGGTGTGACCCGCGCTCACCAGAGCCCGGACGGCGCGGTCGCCGTCGGCCGGCAGCAGCGGCCGGCTGCGGCAAACCTCGGTGAACGCTGCCAGCCTCTCCACCCACGGCCAGACCATCAGGTCCAGCATGCCCGGACGGTCGCCGAAGAAGAACGGCGTGCCGCGCCGCGCCAGCTCGGCCGCCAGCGGCTGCGGCGCACGGGCGGGAGACGGTGGCACACATCAAAGGCAGGCAGCTGAGGGGTGAGGTCGAACACCGGGACGGAACACAGCCGAGACGTGACGCACAGATGTCAGGAGATACTGCCAGGATCAGGGCAAATATGGTAAGCCATGTGTATATGCAGCTTCTAGGTAAGCGATGATCGGGGTTATTACCTACCTGTATATTGTGCTGAAACTTTTCATGCAATTCTTCGATTTTCTTCGGCTCATCTAAATGGAAGTACATCTGGTACAATGTACCGATTACCTGAAAAAAGCATAAGAGCTAAGTTCCCTGTGAGTTCAGAGATACAGTCTCAAAACAACAATAACTATTTTGGATACGTAGAAATGTAATTAATCCCAGATACCGTGACAACATGAATCATTAGACAAATCACTCACACTCACGTTATTGTTGTCCTTAATTTGCGACAAATTTTGCAGACATCGACAGAGTTCGACTCGGCGGGCAGCAGCCGTCGGCCCCTCCCAACACCGCTCTCCTAGCCGAGCTGCTGCTAACTGACGCAACAGTGGTCGGTCTCTAACAACATCTCTCTTTCAGTCGAGCTGCTAACCGTGCCAAACGAGTGAATGAAGAAGCGGTCGGCGGCGCGGCGCCAGGGCTCTGCCGGCAGCAGCGCCGGCGTCGGGTGGAGCTCCTCGAGCAGCTCCGAGGTCACCAGGCTCTCGGGCACGAAGAGGCCGTCCTGCTCCAGCGCCGGCACCAGGCCCGGCTCGTATAGTGACAGGTACCAGGCCGGCTTCGTCTTCAGGTTCACATTGACCACCTCGTGTCTGCCGCAGCGGCAGGGAGAGGAGAGGCCCATGAACCGGTGAGGGGACGGGGCGGTCACTACAGAGCATGTCTAGAGGAAAAGTGAAGGAAATGCTTAGAGTGTCCGATGACCATGGCATGACGGCAATCCCATTCCAGGACCCAGATCAACAGCAAAATATTCAGCCGATTTAATCAGACTTGGTTGGGATCAAGGAGCACAGCCTGGTACAGCCAACGACATTCATTTGTGTTCCATGCCATACGGACATTAGCGTCGCCACGGGAGGGGGAAGGGGCAGCTTGCCCCCCCCCCCCCCACCTCCGATCGAGCACTCCCTGAGATCGATACGGATCCGACGAGATTTTGGAATCGGGGAAAAATAGGGGGTACCTTTCTGATAATGCCTGTGAAGTCGGACCAAGTCGGAGCCTTCAGTTCTTACCAGAGTCAGAGTTGGAGTCGCCAAAAGCTTCAAGGCTCTGACGCCAGACCCGAAAATGTCAATGTTTTGATTCAATCCATGCTCCTAGTTGGTTCTTTACTTAATTTTACAGTTTATTTTCACGTTATAGTAATGTATGCATACGGAGCATGGAAAACTTTCCCGTGACACTCACGGAATGTTTTTAGCGGAGAGCACCAGTCGCGTCCTCTGTGCGAATGGGCACATCTTCATTGAGTAGAGTCGGAGGACGCCCCGCCGACGGGGTGGGCATTCCGAACCTGCCGCCCAGACCACAGCCTATGTTAGCTGCGCAGACTAAAGTTCATTTTTTTCAAACCCGGTTTGACTCCAGGTTCATTATCTAAGCTCTCACGTAAGTTTTCACAACTTCAGCGTCTCGCCAAGAATTTCTCACCGCTAAAAAATAATAACTTCAACTTTTGCTCGGTAAATACATGGACTGGATACATGGACTGGTCTTCAAAAATGAGCATACTGCGGTCATGGTGATCACTCGTCGCAGCTGGCACCCAATGTCCGTACGATGACACAGTGTCAATGAATTTTAGGAAAACTTCGTTTTTCACTGTTACCGATAACAGAATCGAGCAAGCGGCTCTGAGCGGTTCTGTCCATGGTAGTTATACAGTCATCGCAATGCAAGTTCGATAGCATTAAATCATCATTGTTCTAATATCTAGTTCCAAAACGCACGTATGAAGTTTATCGGGAATAATTCACATGCAACTTTGTCGACGTTCGATTTTTGGGGTTGATTTTTTGCCCTTTTCATTTCTAAAACGCATGCCAAGTTTAAAAAACGCACTTGGAGTCAAACCGGTACTGAAAAAGCAAACTATAGCTACTTTGTCGGGCAGGTCGGACAAGAATAAGTTCCCCGATCCCCATCCACACTCGCGGACGATCAGTTCATTCAAACAAATTTTTGGCTATGCTAATTGCAAAAAGTTGTTACCAGCCTCATCTTCAGCAGCTCAATGACTGACTCCTTTCCCATCTTGTTTTTGGCTCTCCAATCAACATGCTTTATTCCTATTATTCCTTGCTATTATTCCTTGCTATGCTATATTTATTCCTTCTCATGGTTTCAGCTAATATGCTCTGATAGATAATAATTGGGTAATATACATGGATCACCCTGCAGCTGTGTGGCAAACACATGCAGATGGGAACTATCAACTAGTAGGTACTTACCAGGGCCTAGGTGCTTGGTTTCTGATAAGATGCATGTCTGATTTGCTCCATAGCTTCTAATTGCCTGTGTGGTAACATTTCATTTGTTATTACACCCATTTTTAACAAAGGATTAGGGTTTCATACAAATATCCTTTTTTGGTAACTGAATAAAACTCACAAGAAATATTTCTCAGACTCAGCACATTTTCCAGTGGGAATAAAACACTACATCAACTGAGCTACAGGACAACGAGACATATTTGGAGTAAGACAGCAAAGGTATGTTGAAATCCAGGATGAAAAGAGAAATCCAGAATGGCCCAATGAAAATGGTTCCTAGGGATAAAGTTGAGGTGGTCAAGTCAGACTTAAGGCAGAATTGGACTCTTTTCATACAGGAAATATCATGCAAAAACATCAAAATGTGCATCAAATCATTATTGCAATTGCATTGCACCAATCGCTTGCAGGGAGGTACGTACGATTGATGTGAGCATGATAAGATACTGGTGTCAATTGTATGCACTCATTAAAATGTGCATAATATTTTTTAGCATCAACACAAACTCTTCCACATCAAAGCAATCGCTGATAGTAGATAGGCTGTCAGCAGTTCATGATATTGACTCAGATGGGCACCAGTCAACTTTTACCAATAATTATATGTAGTCAGTAGTACAGAGCCATACTTACATTTTTTGAGCATGTAGCACTCAATAGATAACTGCATGCTATTTCTGTAGCCCCTTGGCTACTTTTACCCACTAAAAGCCGATGGCTGAACATGACCGGTGTTAGCTTCTAATGAAGCTCGAAATGGAAAGCAATAATCACTAACAAAAAATGTCGAATGCCAAGCACTGCTGTTTCTATAAACTACGCACAGTGCAAATACTCAAGATTACTTGCAAATACTGACAAAGGAATACCGGAATGCAAATACTGACAATACTGGACAATACAACACCGAAACCTCAAACTTCACTAAAGGCGCGCTCACATGCCTTGTGTTCAGAATTATTGCTTTCAAATGTCAATGAACCAAATAGACCAATGCGATGCACTTAATCCATTTATCTACCCTATCCTGACACCCTTTATTGGTAAATTGAATAGATGATATAAAAATATCAATACCTGCGCAGCACAGACAAAATACTGTATGTCACCAACACTGAACTCTATAAGTCACCAAGTGTGTTTATCCCCGTTAGAAATGACAGATACCCCCAGGGCCATATCCTTCAATAAATCGTGCTCGAGGGCAGCGCTTTTCGAGCATTGTGGCCCGAAGGTTTGGACTTTGAATTGTGAAAAACACCCGCCCGCCGCAAAACGCAAACGCCGCAAAACGCGCAAAATGCACGCCCGAAACGCCAACGCAACGACTGGCATACCGCTAGGATTCCAGAGATTCAGCAGCTTTTTGGTCATTTTCACAAATCAAAAAGTTAAAGATCTCTGCAAAAATCTCCTAGATGGAAGCGCCCAACTAAAAAACGGATGGCACGTGCGTGTTCCTCGCCCCCAACTTCCTTCCTTCAGGTCAATCGTCATTTGGGTCACCTTGCGCATGCTTGACGACCGGCTGGGTGGACTAAACATTGCGCCAAGATACGTAGGTAATTGTCAAAGAGAATCCTCAGAATCAATGGTGTTCCAAAAATTTGGAACTTACTATCACTTTGACCCACTGGACGACACAACAGTTGCCGACCAGATGACAGTCATGACACCCCCCCCCCCCAGTAAACATGCCGACGTCGGCCCTATACGGCCTTGGTCGGCCCTACGTCGGGCCGAGGCTCGGCCCGACGTCGGCCCAGCGTCGGTTCAACCTCGGCCCGACATCGGCTGGACGTCGGATATGCCCGCATGTTCCGACGTCCAGCCGACGTCGGGCCGAGGTCGTTTGCCGAGGTTGACGAGATCGTTTGTCGTTGGACCGACGGGGCCGACGTCGGCATGTTTATTGGAACAACGCGCCAAAAATATCAACCGGCGGCGGGATTCGATTCCCCCCCCCCAGTCGCCGACGTCGGCATGTTTACTGGGACAACGCGCCAAAAGCATCACCCGGCGATGGGATTCGAACTCTGTGTCATTTGAACGCGAGGCTAGTGCGCTCACCACTACACCACGCAGCCAGATAGCGAATTTAGTTTGTTTTGTTGTCTTATGCCCTTTCGGTCTGACAAGACCATTTCAGAGCCGGAAGGATGATAGGATGGAGACATTGGTCTTCTTGGCGAGCACCCTGGGTCCAGTTCATATAGAGTCCCTGGTCCCATTGCTGTTACGTGACACTTATTGGAAAGGGCGACCCCACAATGGATTCATATAGCCACTCTTACACACCTGCACCAACGTTTCCCAAAGTGTCCCTTTGATAAGTGGCACTTTGGCAAAGTGACACTTGCCGACTGGCCTTTCTATATTATCTGGGCCCGGCCCTGGTGAGTTGCCGGGGCTGAGCCTGACCAAAGGATAGGCCGAGCAGCCCCAAGCACTCCGACACCCGGCTACGGGCAAGCTCGGCTTACGGGTAATCCCAAATGGGATAAAGTTTCCCGTCCAGTCCGGATCAGGGGGTTGCGGCGTGGAGGAAGATTTGAGTTTCTTGGGGATATTTTGAATACAGAAGGGCTCTTTATGAAACATGCAACATGTATCTTATATTATTTTAACGGTCAAAACAGCGGCCGATGTCGGTCCGACGTCGCCCCGACGTCGGCCCGACGTCGGCTGGACCTCGGCTGGACGTCGGTACATGCGGGCATATCCGACATCCAGCCAACGTCGTGCCGAGGTTGGACCGACGTCGGGCCGATGTCGATGCCGAGTTGCCGACGTCACCCCGACGTCGGCCGACGTCGGGCCGACGTCGGCATGTTTACTGGGCCTCGATACATTATCTCGACGTCGTATCAATGTCGTCACAATGTCGATTCGATGTCGTCACAATGTAAATGCGTCAAAGTGCAAGTCATTTACCATCACTCTCAAACGGTCACCCATCATCAGTCCCTATAGAATAGGTGGAGTGACGTTAGATCGCGTCACCACTATGCGCGATCTGGGAGTTACTCTGGACCAAAAACTCACCTTCGAGCGGCATGTTGATTCGATTGTCGCGGCGGGCAATAGAGCACTCGGCTTGTTGATTCGGTCACTCCAAGCCGGAGCGAGAATTAGGTATGACACTGGCGCTATCACCTCAGCATACTTCGCCAATGTACGTTCGGTTCTCGAGAACTGCAGTGTTGTGTGGGGCGGAGCGGCGAGAACACATACGGATCGCATAGAACGAATCCAGCATAAATTCCTTATTTGGCTTACAGTTAACTCTGTCACCAACTCGGATTCTCTCTCTTACGAAAATCTTCTTTCGGCACATTCTTTCACTTCTCTGGCAGCACGACGGGTGCAACATGACTTGGTTTATGTAGCTCGTCTTTTCAAGCACAAAATTGACTCCAGTTCCCTGCGATCTCATTTTGGCCTCGCCGTCCCGCCTCGATCAGTTCGCCGCCGTGATCTGTTCGCCGTGCCGTTCGCCAGAGTCGAAACCATCAAGAATGGGCTCTATTGTAGGGTGCCGAGGCTCGCAAATGAATTTCTGCGTGAAAACAACCAGCTAGACCTGTTTACGGACTCCTTAGCCACAGTGAGGAAAACAGCTAAGTCTTACGCTGCTCAGCTATCCTCCCGCGCCTTTCCCACAGACCAATGATGTTGCCGTGTGTCGCAAGATTGCGGTCTGTTTTGTATCATTTACTGTATACCTTTATTACGTGTTTGTATGATCAGTGTGCCTATGCCTATGTGACTTTACCCGTAAATGGGCTTTTCCCGTGGGTGATACTGTGAATAAATGAAATGAAATGAAATGAAATGTCGATTCGATGTCGACACAATATCGACACAATGTTGTCTCGATGTCGAAACGACGTCGACACGTCGATGGCGATGTCGACGGACGGACACGGACCTACGCCAGTCACCATGTCAATATGATAATTTTCCGGGATCCTCACCAGGATCATTCGGTGTAAAAGAGGCATCTGTGATACAAAAGCAATATAGAAATGTGACTGAGTGTATCGATAGTCTCTGCAATGATAAATAATTACTATGAACGTCAAACCCCTTGAGACCCCACTTTTTGCGATAATTTTTAAACGCGTCAACTTTCGCTGACAATATTCTGGCAATGTATGTTTCAGAACCTGCCGAAACTTTTATTACTAAGGTATTTTGACGCCAAACGATTATGGAAGGTACCTCTCATTCACTCGTAATGCTAAGGTCAATTCAGGCCCGGGCAGAGGCTTGCGCTCGGCCACACTCGAGCCCCGCCACCAGCGCCATCTCCTCTAAATGCCATCTACCAGCGCCCGCTACCGCTACCAGCTACCGCCCACCATCAAGCCTGAATGGAGCGAGAGACGCGAGTGACCGGTCGCCGGGTAAGGAGCGCCGGAGGGGTAGGGCGGAGCTTAGCGCCGACGTCATTACGTGGCTCCGCCCCATGAGCGCGTAGCCTCTACCCAAACAGCAGATTTGTTCCGTGAAATTTAACATTACGAGTGAATGAGAAGTACCTTTCATAATCGTTTGGCGTCAAAATACCTTAGTAATAAAAGTTTCGGCAGGTTCTGAAACACATATTGCCAGAATATTGTCAACGAGAGTTCAGACGCATTAAAAAATTATCGCAAAAAAGTGGGGTCTCAAGGGGTTTGACGTCCATAGTAGGTACACTCGGGGGCAGATTGATGTTCCACCACTCCCTACCCATCAGGCTCCCATGGCTCAGCACTGGCTGCTGCCAGTGTTGCCTGCCCTCAGCACTGCTCACCACTGCCTGTCAGTGCCAGTGCTGCCAGTGCTGCCGCTGGCAGCAGCCAGTGCTGAGCCATGGGAGCCCGATGGGTACTGGGTAGGGAGCGGTGGAACATCAATCTGCCCCCGAGTGTACATACCAGAGTAATTCCGGATACCTATTTCCTCCTTTTCCGGATGTCGAGCGTAGGGGAAATCGATAAAATCCTCAGTACACAGTCTGATCCGGGCTCGCACCGGCTGGCGCTGCACTTCCCTTCCAAATTTGCTATGTTTTGCATTGAGACACTGGCTTATTTGATTTTTTCTCTATACCTATTATGAACACTAGATAGGCAAGTTGCACATTTCAATCATGTATTAATGTATTGAATGCTGGGCACACATCTGAAACAGAGACACACAGGTATATCCAAGGGTATATCAGCGTTATGCCCGTCTAAACACAAATTTATTTGAATCTTTATTTGATTTCGATCACGTTGCGTAGAATGGAAAATTTAGCTGCAGCATCTTAGTATCTAGTGCCGATAAACTAGTTCCCTGTTTTCAAATAAGGCAATGTTATTTGTTTTTCTTGCTTTTCTGTAATTAAATATTTTAATTGTTATCACTTTGGTATTTTTTGTCTGTTTCATCTTTTTAAGAGAAATATTTTAAAACAGGAAATAAAAGTTATGTATCATCACTAATACACAAACGTTCTTTCTGTTTCAGAGAAACTGTAATGGCGTCGGTGAGGAGTGACGCAATGGGTGCTTCTCAAAGAAATTATGGAGAGGTTGTCCTCACTCTGGAAAATTGTCTTTTGAGTGAAGAAAAGCTGACACCGACCCCGTCTGGCTTAGATGGGTTGGAGCCTTCACTAGAGACTGAACTAAGGATCCTGGGAGCGGAACTCATACAGACTTCTGGGAGGCTTTTGAGGCTGCCACAGGTAAGGCATCATTTTGTTAAATCCTTTTTTTTGTCATTGGCAGAGTGAATTTCTTTTTCCATTATCATTTGTTGTATTTGCTGTTGAAATTTGCTGAAACTTCAGTTGGGGAAACTACGACGAGGAGCCAAACAAAAATTGGATCAGCCAATCAACGGCTGGAGTCAGTTGGGGAAACTACGAGGAGCCAAACAAAAATTGGATTAGCCAATCAGCGGCTGGAGTGGGCGGGGCGATGACCATATATGGTCATAAAATCAGACAACTTCATCTTTTCAATGAATTTTAGCATTCAAATGAAAAAATAAGGCATAAGAATGTTTTTTAACCACACAAGGCCTACACTCACCCGGTGCATAATTAACTGGCGGCTCTAAATCGCAGAGTTACAACGCAAGGTCAAACCGTGATTGGCAAACATGGCGGATTGAAACAGACGCGCCAAAAAATGTAAGCAGTACCGTGGTTTAAAAATGTCATTATTTTTATTATTTTGTTTATGGTTTTTCTAATTGTAGTTAAGTTATTATTTTAGAATTAAATATTTTTGTTTATTGTAACGAAATCAAATCTTTTAACAATTTTCTTTCATAAAACCAATCCATTTATTGAATGGCCAGCTGATTGTGACGCCCAGAACCTGCAGAAAAGCCGTTTTCCTATCGCCGTTTTCGAGTCAATTCGCCGAATTTAATCAAATCACACTAATTCCTAGTGAAAAATGGAAGCCTTTTCTCTCCATTAAGTGGACGCAATACCGCAAATACGGGCTTGTTATACCGTTTTTCACCCTTAGTAGCGGGGGCTGCATTTATGCCCATATATGGTCATCAAAAGTCCATTTATTGACCAATCCATTTTTTGACATTCGCCTCGTAGTTTCCCCAACTGGATGGAGTGGGCGGAAATATGGCGGATTGAAACATATGGGCCAAAAATGTAAGCAGTACCATGGTTTGAAAATGTCAATTTTTATTATTTTGTTAACGGATTTTCTAATTGTGGTTAAATTATTATTTAAAATTAAACATCTTTGTTTATTGTTATTAGATTAAATCTTTTAACAATTTTCTGTCAAAACACCACTGAACTCTATAATGTGGAATGCGCATCGGCCGCCAGATGGTGTCCAACTTTGCTGCTATGTTGCGCAGACCAGGAAGCGGCGGTATTAGTATATATAAGGTCCGAGTGGCGGAACGATTATGAAAAGCACACTATACGATGCATTTTGACCTCCTGATTTCATATCTGATAGTTATTCATTTTGGAACCAAGTATCAATGCAGCTAGCTATCTGTGCTTCAAGTGCCCTATGCATCAACAAATGGAGTGGCTAGGACAAAGGGGAACAGAGCGCGGTGGCGAGGGCGGCCCGACCCGCACCGGCCGGCCGTGGGCAGACGGCCGGCCAGCTGGCATTCAGTTGGCAGGGAAGCCGTTGAATAACGAGGCACGTCCCTCGTCCCAGCCCGTTTGTCCCTCCAGCCTGCCGGTGACCATGCTGTTTGTCTCCATTTCAGACTGCAATGGCCACCGGGCAGGTTCTCATGCACCGCTTCTACTACTCCAAGTCGTACGTGAAACATCCGATGGAGATCACGGCCATGGCGTGCCTATGTCTGGCATCCAAGATAGAAGAGGCGCCAAGGAGGACCAGGGATATCATCAATGTGTTTCATCACATCAAGCAGATCCGTGCTAAAAAGTGAGTGCCAGCACGGAAGCTAATATGCACCACACAATTAATGAAGGACAGCCGAAAATGCCAGCCGTGCATTATCACGCAACCTGACAGTTGGCACATAACCTGAAAGCTCGCCTCGAAACTAATAAAAGGTTAATTTGTTGCTTGTAGGACTTTGATTTTTCTCGGTCTTGTGCTGCTTTTCAAGACGTTTTGTGTTGAAGCTTCTTTTTAATCAGGGTTGGCAGAGGGTGGCAAAAACTGGTTTTTGCCGGTGGTTTTAACCGGTTTAAACCGGCTGGCAGAAACCCTGGTGGCAAGAACTGGCAAAAACTGGCTAAAACTCAGATGGCCAAACCTACAACTTTTCTAGTTAGGAATGGATTTGAAATGTACAAATGTATTTCTGGTAGTTATATGGATGCACTAAACATTCTCAAGTTGCCTCATTACTTATCCCTGCTTAAACTGTCTATGCATGTCGGTAGACATCCACAACGGAATGTATTTCCATGTAAAGGGAGAGTGGGGTAAGGCGGCCATGGTAAGTAGGGTGCCATGCGGTGCCGTCGTGCGCATATCAGTGGCAGATGCCCCTTCGCACTTCTGATTGTGCAGGATTCACCCAGTCACCCTTGCACTGGCTCATTTGTCACCCCCAAAAGGCATCTTACTAGCTCCTTATGGATAGTCCATGAAAATGTTTCTGAGTTAGGTATGAAGCATTTCAATGGTCAATGTCATTTCTGTTTGAAAGCATAAAGCTTTCACCGAATTCTCCTTAAAATATTTCATGTTCAAATACATGTCTAGGCATAGCATTGTGATACTTCTTAGTTTTTGCTAGTTTTTGCCACTTTTTGCCGGTTAAAACCGGTTTAAACCGGCAAATGGCATAAACTAGTTTTTGCCGGCAGAAATGCCAACCCTGTTTTTAATATAGGCTGCAAATGTATCATGAAAGCTTTAGGTGTGTCATTATCGACAAGAGTGCACAGAGATGTTCAGCGATGTCGCGCAATGAAGGTAATCTATACACCGTATGACGTTGGACCCCTATGGTTTCAGGACTATCAGTCCGGTGGTTCTGGACCCAAACTATATCCACTTAAAGAACCAGGTCATCAAGGCGGAAAGGCGGATTCTGAAGGAGCTGGGCTTCTGTGTTCATGTTCAACATCCTCACAAGGTAAGCGAACTGTGAGACGTGGTGGGCCGTGCTAAGGTCTGTAAATAATAAAAAGTGCAAGGTCTGTGATATGTGCTAATATCTTAATTTAGCTTCAGTTTACGTTTAGACGAACTTTGAAACTACTAAGATATTAATGACTGGAGGGTGATTCCTACTGTTGTCAGCTGATTATCATGTACCCTGAGGTTCATGTTTTTTTCAGATGATTGTCAGTGTCATGTAGCTGAGGTGTCATGTACCTGAGGTTCATATTTTTTCTCAGATGATTGTCATGTACCTGAGGTTCCTGCGGCTGGAGGGCAACACGGGCCTGCTTCAGTACGCATGGTAAGTACCCGATGGCCATGCAGCCATTGCCCATGCCCGGCAGAGCTGGTTCCAAGTTGGCTGAGTGGTCCACGTTCGCTGTTTTGTCACCGTCGTGTGTCTCGATGTTGTATTCCATTAGTTAGGGAAACACTATGGGTACGCCTAATGCATCAAGATACTTGGTAACCCATTGTTTGTTGGTCACAATATCAGCACTGTCTAATTTTCGTTTTGTTTTTTGCCTAACACAGATTAGGTGAGCAGAAGCCTGAGTGGTAAGTAGCCAGGCTGGCCGCTGGCTCTGTGGCTGAGAGGCGACCGGCGGTCTCTGGCGGTCATCCCTCCCCCGGGCGCGCGGCGGCTGCGTCAACGGCCTCCCGGAGGCGGCGGCACCGGCCCTCCCCAGCTCTGCCCTGCCCAGGCCACCGGCTCAGATTTGAACGGTCCGCCACGGACAATCCTATATCGTTACAGACCAGGTGGCCGCCCGGCCCGCAGACCGCGCTGAACTCGGCCGATGAGAGAGAGGTGTCCTCTGTACCGGGCGAACCAAGGTGAGCCGCCCACCGCAGCACGCGCGCAGCGTGCTCAGTTGCATTGGCTGGCTACACTCATGGTCTCGGATTCGTCAATCTCGTTTCTTTCATTTGGGCTAGGCTTGCAATTGTTACGCCAAAACATGTAATGCACGGTTCACAGTGGTCATGCATCTCTGCTACTGACATTGTTGGAGGTGGATGTTGCAAGTGGATGTAATGTCTTGAGGGTCTTAAAGTCCGTTCTCAATATGTGGGTGACAATCAATACTGATTTTTTCATTTTTCTTTTGCATATCGAGCTATTTACATTTTGTGATGTTCTTGGCCTCCGATCGAAGTTGATTTGGCTCTACATTTTATCCACAAAATTTGTTATTTTAAAGCTTGATTTAACCTTGTGTTTGTCGCCACGGTTTTGCATACCTTTCTGCGTAAATCTCGTTTCTTTCGGTTGGGTTAGGTTTGAAATTGTTATTCTTAAACATATAATATCGCTAAAGGGGATTGTGGGTTTTTATGTCACGTTACATGATCAAACACCTGTTATCACCTGTAAACACCTATAGTCGTATAGTCTGTCGTATAGTCTGTCGTATGTACGGTTAGGAGAAACTTGGCTCTACTGCTCAGCAGTAGAATGCCTAATACCCCCAAGCGTTTAAACTTGCACAGCGCAACTGCAGAGCCTTTTTACTTTTGGGATGCGAATCAGTGCAGCACGTAGCTAGGTATCGATAAAATTCATTCGAATGGACTGGCATTTTGTGCACAGAAAGCATTTTATCGCTTTATGAAAATATTTGTTATTGCTCATCATGCTAAGCTGTTTAAAGTGAACCTTTTTGAGGTTTTGAGAAATCATGAGGGAGATGTCAATTATACCACGGAGGTTCTCAGACTTTAATTTTGTCGTATCCCTAAATTGTACGTTTCGCTCTGGTAAATGGCGAAAACCGTGACGACACAACACGAAGTTAAAGTTAACCATATTTTTTCGTTTTTTCTTTCGCACCTCTTCTTATTCATTTGACATGTTTTGGGGTCTAGGGATCTGCAATTTCTCATTCACTCAACCCTTTAAAGATGTCAGGTGAGCAGGCCCTTCGAATGGTCGCAAAATGACCATAGCAAGCTTCAGTCCTAATTAACGATCTATGAAAATCTGTATTGATAGATTGCGGGAATGAACCTGCCTCTGATTTCACATTTTCAATGGTTCTTGTGAAGTCGTTTCATGTATACTTGCTCCGTGTTTTCACAATTTGTTGTCATGTTACATCCAGATATATCCACCTCCAATGTCAGCAGTGAGTCATGCGGTCGCTCTGCTCCGGTGCTGAATGTCTGGTGTTGATATTGCAGTTGGTTGCGAGGAACCAGCTCGCTGTGGTCTTCTCGGCCTGGGATCGGCCGCGCTTCCAAGTCTGCGCCCGGCCTCCACGCAAAGGTGGTATTGCGCGTGCCCGCCCCCGAGGGCCGGCCAGGCGCACTGTAGTTGGCCTGCTAGCTCAGCATAAAGCGCCGTCTTCGCTCTAACTGAAGGATGAAAAACTAATTTGTTTCCATTGACGTTATCGTGTTGCAGAAATGCTCTTAGCCTGATACTCTTGTTCAGGAAGTTGAGTAGCGACCTCAGATAAAGTCAGCTGTAGCAGGGAATGCTGAACTGAGCCCGATGGCAGCGGGTTTCGCTGTGCGGGCGCTGTGTTGCTACCTGTACCGTGGGTCGTGCTGGCCGCTGATGTGCGACTTTCCGACTCAGGGGCGTCCGCGCCAGTCAGGAACGACGAGCGACGCGCGGCTGGCCTGGAGACTGTGACGGCGGCTGTCGGTCCGGCCAGCCCCACCGCCGCGGCCCGGTCACATCCGGCCCGGTGGCGCGCCGGCGACCAGCCCCGCTTCGCAGCTCACTGTGCTTTGCCCACCCACAGCTGACCATGGAGGCAGCTTCCGAGGCGGCGTCAGTTCAACGATTCATTCGCTCACTGAACTTTAGAATGTAGGCTTATATGTGCACATAAGACCTAACTTAATGTATATATTATCTTTTGTTTTCATAGAATGGTAACCAAACTACTAGAGCTCAATTATTGTTAAATGGTATTCATCATTATTGGTCATTTGCGCGTGAAGTAGTTTTCTTTTCACGTACAATGAGTGACCTTGGAGTGTCGAGTGTCGTGCTAGCCCAGGGAGCATGCACGACGTTACGCCATTTCTGACTTAATTTTATTTTAAATGAATCGCCTGATGTAAAGTTGTTTGCTTTAGCAATAGAAAAATAACGAGTATGGTAATTTCTTTCGTTACATCTTTGAAAATTGACATTGCTTGATTTTGTACATTAAATATTGTGGGCAACATTACTTAAAATTTGTTTGCAATATTGCCTGTTTCTGTAACCGTCGGGTGCAGTTTACCTGCTCTTTTCGTTTGAACAATATCTGATAAAGTAAAAAAGAATCAGACCTCAATACGTATGTATTTTCTTGCACAGATTTTACACGTAATTTAACCCGAGCCCCCGCTGGGGCTCCTGGATTTTCACGTTCTGCTAGGGCTGTTTAGACACCCCCCACCCCACCCCCACCCTTTTAAACTCGGCTCCTGGGCCTCATAAATCGTAAGTACCTAACTCGCGGTAGGCGGCGTACAAAAAAGCGTCAAAAATCATGATGAAATCACTTTGGTTAATTTTAGGTCAGATCAAAGGTCAGGCCACCAGATTAAGTCATCAATGGCCAAATTTTGTCTGCTTCAACATTAACCTCGACAAATAAGCGTATAACTGGGGAGCGAATGGGGCTACAGTGCCGCAGAAAAGCGCATTTGATAGCTTTTTAAACGTTCTTTCTGGAGTAGAATGTGAGATTTGACATCAGATCAACAGTTAATTCTCCAGAGGGCAAAAGCTGCAAAAACTGACGTTTTTGCGAAAACTGTAGTCCTGCATTAACTTTTGACTCCAACGCTGCACATTATTAAACGACTTCGCGGCCCTAGTATCTGTAATTAGGTCCTCAAACTCTTTATAACTTGACTTTTGACTTGAATCTTGTGACACAACATAGGGCTTATTTGTATTTCGATGGGTTATACATATTGAGGTCCTTAAAATCAATTTTTTTCGACAAGTCCGAGCTATCAGGTGTATGTATGTCATAAGCTGGTTCAATGCTTGCCGTGTTGTGCATGTTAGCTGTGCCGTGCCATGCCTACTTCATGTGCTACTTCTTTTCGATCTTCACTCTTATTTCGATCTGAATTATTTTTTCTCCGTGCGTGGTGTTTTAGTCGAGCTCTGACATGCTAATTCAATAGGATGTGATCGTTTGAAGTGCGACGTTTAATTGCGGACAGTATTTTATAAAAGCTGCATGGCCGTGATCCCATCGCGTATGAGGTTTCCTTGCGGTGTGTGCGGCGAGCTACAGCCATTTCACCGGGGGCCGCTATGTCGATGGTGGCGCCGCCTACGGCGGCTGTGGAGAGTTGTAGGACACATTGCATCGAGCTAGTCAACGGACTTTAGTATTGTGCTCAGTGGGAACAGCCACATTAAAGCTAAATTAATGAAAAAGCGCAAAAGACACGGTTGCGTCGGGTTCGTGAGACTGACACGCTAAGACACTGACAGTGCAAATTATGCTCGGATAGCATGCGACAAGCATCGCAAACTGTCACAAAACAAGTTCAAGAACAATTGGTGTTTTGAATAGCTTCTCGAATTTTGGGACGCTTAGCCGTTTGGTAAGTCTGCATCTGCATTATCTTAGACAGGCAAGTAAGTTCACCTAAAAAACTGCAGGTGACCGATAGGCGTGCAATATTATTTTGCATAAAAGTCGACTAATTATGACATTGCTGTGACGTCATTCCGGTAAACCTAAGATGTATAGAAGTATTCTTGGCACCCGGTGTAAAATTGATACAACGTAGAGTACTGAAAGTTTTGTATCGATACCAAACTTTCATAACGACAACTATTTTGTTGGTTTGGCAAATATGGCACAATAGTGACTTTTTTTTTAAAAGGATTTGGCTCTTTTCTTGACGAGTCGTCAATGACGTAGTTTCGACAAAATGTTTTCTTCGTCACACAAGCTTTTGACTTTTGCCCTGGAAGGGGCGTTTTTGGTCATGCTCCCCAGTTTTTTTTTTTTTTAATGTGTATTGAGAAAATCGCAGCGTGTGTTTTACATCATGTGCGAACATTTGACCGCAGATCACTGAAGGGTTGGGTCACTAGGTCGATTGAAGCTACCGTGTCTCTTACAAAAAGCTTGCGATGCTATAATTCCTACAGGCTATCTCCTAGAAGTGAAACTCTGGGTATGGCATGAAAATATCTTTGCCAGAAAACTTGCGTCTCGTTTTTTTTATCTTAGGCCTGGGGTCGCGTTAGATTTGTAACACCATCATAAAAGGAACTTAAAAATGCTTAGTCCTTGGAACCACATGTCAAAACCACATGCTAGTGATTGTGAGAATCATGACCTATCCATATACCATATCCATCCATCCATTTTCATAGGCTTGGACCACTGATGGCCAGCGGTCACTCGAAATAACTATATTGCGAGGTGATGTTAAGTCACCCGTAGTTTCTCGTCAATAACTATTGACGAGGTATGGTATAGCGATGACAACACCTTGAATGTGTTTACCGACGATACGAATCAATTCATAAGCAGCGTGGCCTTTTCCGATCATGTTAAAGGGACCCTCCCACCTTAACATTAGATTTGAGTTGAGAATGGGGTCCCTGGCTCACAATTACCGGTTTCGGCACTCACAACATCGAGAAATGCCTTAACCCGCGACCTGGTGGGGGGGGGGGGGGGGGGGGGTCGGGGCTATTTTTGCCCCTCCTCCAGACTTTTCAATATATATCCAGAACCGCTGCGCCGATCGTCACCAAACTTTCAGTACCCTCCCGGACATCAATTTTACACATGGTGACCAAAATTTTTTCCAAAGGCTATGATAGGTTGGCCGGAAATGACGTCAGAGTGACGTCATGTTCTGCCGTTTTCGACCCCAAAAAGGGTTTCGCGGGAAGAGCTGTCAGGCCTATAGCTTTGCAAATACAGAAAAATGATAAGGACATAAAAGCTGTAGAATTGACAGGGCTACAAAACTGCTATCTTGGATTTTTGAAATTCTTGGATTTTGACCCCCGAAAATCCAAAAATAAATTTTTTGGATATAATAATCGAAAAATCCAAAAAGTTTTTTGAATTTCGCAAAAAACGGAATATATGTGATAGTCCTTACCGCCTTCCATCCACATACCAAATTTGAGATTGATACCTCTTTTTTGGCGAAGTTATAGCGAAAAAAAAAACTGTTCAAAATTGATGACGTCAAATTTTCAAACTCAATTTTTAGCAATTCTAGACCCCGTAGCGCAAAACAAAGACCACCAGTAGACTCCCCGTGACGAGCTGCATCGAATCAATACCCATTTTATGCAAAACTATCAACTTTAAAATTTGACCTTTTTTGGCCTGACCTTGACCTGACCTTGACCTGAACTTCACCAGAAAGTGACCTAAGCCGTACCTGATAGTCTTATAACCAACACCATTGAGTTGGAAATGAAAAATTGGTCATAAAACATGCATCACACAACCTTAGTAAAGTTGGGCTCATGTGACCTGACCTGTGACCCTTGGTGACCTGACCTGTGACGTGACCTGGTATTGTCAGTGACCTCTAATAGCAACATATCTACTAGGCAACTGACGCCCTATCGCTGATTCTTGACAAAATGCGTTTTCCTCGGTGTTATAGCGCATTCCCTAGAAGACCCGTGAACGGTGAAACATTTCATCTTTGACCTGACCTGTGACGTCATCGGTTACCCCGAGGTCAATGAAATTTGGTTTCCTTCGACAAATTTGACAGGCCTTTCGAACGCCGTTTGAATTTTGCGGATCCATCCAGTAGTTTCGGAGATACGAGGGGGGGGGGGCAAAAAATAGCCCCCCCCCCACCAGGTCGCGTTATAAACAGACCCCACCAGGGCGCGGGTTAAATCGGAAATATTGAATTTCAAAATTGCAGCATTTTGATTCAGAGGGGCTAATGCATAGGTATACCCCTCTGAATGTGTGACGTCAGCGCAGATATCTAACGATTTTTAAATGTTTGACTAAAACGTTTTGTAGCACGCGGTGGTATATGCTGCTTTGTGCGCAAACAAGTGCCGCACTTTCAGCTGCCAAACTATTGCTTCCAAATAAAGTCGCTAGGAACAGCGGAGATCCCAAAAAGTAAACAAAAGTAAAAGTCTAATATCTTGAAAACGGGTGAATATTTTTCGGTGAAATTTGGTAGATATTCGTTTTCGCTCTTTCTGGACCGAGCGACATCACTTTCATACCAATTCATAAACTTTTTTGAAGGTGGGAGGGTCCCTTTAAAACACTGACCTTAGTTTAA